TAAACTGGGCTGGAATTATTTAGTTTGGTGAAATCAAAAGACCCTCATAAATTTTCAGCGAAATTGAAGAAAGAACTGGTGTGACATCATTTTGAACAAAATCAGGACAAAATGATATACGTTTGGAATTCGTTTAGAAAGTTTGAAACATCTTGCCAAACTGAAATTTCCGTAAAAGACCATTGGTCTGTGGCGATTACGCAATAGGTAGGTGTGGCTCTGTGGCTTTTCTGGTTCCTTTCTTCTGTTGAGTCCTTTGAGATCAGATGTAAAACCATGAACACAGTGGAGAAATTATTTATAGTAGAAACTGAAGTAGTAATTCTAATTAAAAGCAAACAGTATACCGCTGCAAACGTATTTCAAACTTCTTTTTACCCCTAAGCGAAGACCGGAAATGAACATTGCTGTGAGTTTATTGGAGCCTTAAATCTAGACTCTGTTCCTCAACAACCTGACCTCCAAAAACATATCAGTCAATATGATGTTAACAAACCCAAATAATTCTGAGTGTGTTCAGATTGGCTAAAAAGAAGTATGGGCCGCTCCCCTCACTGTTGTTTGCTGTGAGTCTGTCACAGAGACAGATGTGATTCCATATTTGAGTGATATCTGTCAGGTACAGCCTGTGCACTTGAGTGCATGTTAGAGTTGTGGCACTCATATGGTAGATGCAAGTTTGCGTCTGGCATGGGGAATGCAATTATCCTATGTCACTCCTCTCTCCCTCACAATTTCCTGCCTCCTCTTCACTGTATCATTCTAATAAAGATGCTGAAGCTCCTGCAATAATAAAAACAGCCAAAAAAAACCAAACATCTGGATTGATCAAATACAACACTGAGGAATCATTTTGAATCAAGTCGGACAATGTTTTGGCTGAAACTAGTTAATTAAAAAGTTGTGACATCAACAAATGGCAAATTAGGAAGTGTTTAGAGTGTACTGTACTTCAACAAATAATGGGGAAATTGGAAACTGCTGTTGGCACAGAAACAGTGTTACCCAACTTTAAGAGGGAAATCAATCCTAGAGTCACGACATCACTTCAGCGAGGCGCTTCAAGAGCTGAGCTTATCACATGTGCAAAGTTTGGCACGTCTAACTAGACAGCTCAGACATCTCAGTTAGCTCCAGGGTGCCGCTTAGGTGGAGTCCTTCATGTCGGTCCCTTCTGCTTAAAAACAAATTCAAGGACGTACGTCTCCAGTAAGAGTAAGTGAGCTGCATTACTGAAAGGCACCATTACTGCATAAGTTATTTCATGTGTATACGCAGCTGAGAAGGAAGGTTAGTAACTACTACTGTCAGGAAAACAGGTAAAACAGCTAGCAGAGAAACACGACAGATGGACAATATAATGATATATAAGGATGGCCCTGTATATAGACAGACAGACAGACATAAATTAAAAACTATTTAAAATATAAGATTTTTTATGTTTTTGAAAGAATCCTCTTATGCTTTGAGATAAAAAACAAATACAGTAGAAACAGTAATACTGTGAAATATTACTGCAATTTATTATTTTTTTGAGGATGGAAAGTTAAAAAGAGGAGAATTTACTCAAAATAGAAATCTTTTGTAACATAAAAAAATTATTTACTGTAATTTTTTATCAGATTTGATTTTTGATTAAAAAAAGCATTTGAATGAAGTTGTTTGATTTAGTTATAATTTCTAGCACTAACATTTAATAAATATTCACACAAAAATACAAATGAAAAAAAGAATGTTAATGTCACAATGCAGTAGACACTTTAAAGGTATAACCAGGAATATGTAACAAGGAATATTTTTGTTAAGCTTATTATTATAAGGTATAATTAATTTAACAGATTATCCTATAGTTTAATTAGGATACATATTATCATAATGCCTTATATTTATAAAATGATTGTCAGGTTAGTCAGCTACTTCACTACACCAAACTAAAATAATAATAATAATAATTGCATACAATTGCTCAGAAAATCCTTTTACAATACATTAAATATTCTGGCTTTGTAGAAAATGGTGCTAAAAATGTTAAGCATGTATTGACAAGTAAGTGCGCCAACACACAATTCCAGCAAACGTATTTCCATTAACCAGGGAGATGCACTTGGGTATTCTTTGTGTAGGTCATAATAGTATGACACACACTTCCATAATTTCCCTGGTCCTAAAAATACCATTGTTCTATCTCATTAACAGGCCGACAGCACTATAATACACTCCACTGTATCACTGTAATATATGTCAGAGACTAAAATAACCATGGACGTGCTCAGCGTTAATTCAAATCCATTCACCGCCAAGTAAAAATGTGGGGAAAACAGCAATCGCCTACATGGCACCAAATTGAGATCTGCATATCTCTGTTGTGCAGTACGGTAGATAGGCAGGGAAATATGGTGCTTTTGTGTGAATTGTATAGCAGGACCCTGAGAGAATTACTGATGGCATGACTGCAGTGCTCTGCATTGTCCATGTGACCTGATGCAGCATTGTGATATTCAGCATTGTAACTAACACTACTGAAAGCTGCAGTATGGAAAATTTGTGTTAAGATCTTTGGTAGGATATCTAACAATCATTATGCCGAATGTCAGTGCCACCGAACTTTGGTAATGTTATGCATTTTAAAACAATAATTTTCAATGAATCAATACAACAGTGGGAGACAGTTACCCGCTCAAAACATATTATGTTTTTGTTGTAATTTTTTGATGTTGTTAATTATAGTCTCTCTGGTAAAAAGATTGCCTGCAATCACAGGGCCAAATATCTGTATTGCATCTAAATAACCAAAAAATAAATGAATACATACATGCATGCATGCATACTGTACATACATAAAATTAAGTTAAATGGTCAATGTCAAGGACTTTTAAGTTGATCAATTAATTTATTTTAAAAAACACACTATATATTGAGTATATATAAATACATAAAAAAACAAAATGAATGGTCTGTTTCTGGGTGGAGATCAAGTGCAAAATGTAAGATACAACTTTTCTGATATCAGAATTAAGAAAAAAAAAGTCTCATTAAAAAGATTTAAATGGATGAAATTCTTGGAAATAAAATGTTATCAAGTAGTTTGACATAACATTTTGTAATTATTTCAGTAACACTTTACAATAAGGTTCATTTTATTAACCTTAGCTAACTACATTAGTTAACATAAACTAACAATGAAAAATACTTGTAAAGCATTTATTAATCCTAGATCATATAAATTGCAATATGTAGTAATATATTATTAAAATCCAAAATTGTATATGTTAATATTAATGAATGCACCTGAGCTCAAATGAACCAAATATGAAGAGTTGTACTTTTATTAATGTTAACAAAGATTAATACTCCAACAACGTGCTCAGCGTTAATTCAAATCCATTCACCGCCAAGTAAAAATGTGGGGAAAACAGCAATCGCCTACATGGCACCAAATTGAGATCTGCATATCTCTGTTGTGCAGTACGGTAGATAGGCAGGGAAATATGGTGCTTTTGTGTGAATTGTATAGCAGGACCCTGAGAGAATTACTGATGGCATGACTGCAGTGCTCTGCATTGTCCATGTGACCTGATGCAGCATTGTGATATTCAGCATTGTAACTAACACTACTGAAAGCTGCAGTATGGAAAATTTGTGTTAAGATCTTTGGTAGGATATCTAACAATCATTATGCCGAATGTCAGTGCCACCGAACTTTGGTAATGTTATGCATTTTAAAACAATAATTTTCAATGAATCAATACAACAGTGGGAGACAGTTACCCGCTCAAAACATATTATGTTTTTGTTGTAATTTTTTGATGTTGTTAATTATAGTCTCTCTGGTAAAAAGATTGCCTGCAATCACAGGGCCAAATATCTGTATTGCATCTAAATAACCAAAAAATAAATGAATACATACATGCATGCATGCATACTGTACATACATAAAATTAAGTTAAATGGTCAATGTCAAGGACTTTTAAGTTGATCAATTAATTTATTTTAAAAAACACACTATATATTGAGTATATATAAATACATAAAAAAACAAAATGAATGGTCTGTTTCTGGGTGGAGATCAAGTGCAAAATGTAAGATACAACTTTTCTGATATCAGAATTAAGAAAAAAAAAGTCTCATTAAAAAGATTTAAATGGATGAAATTCTTGGAAATAAAATGTTATCAAGTAGTTTGACATAACATTTTGTAATTATTTCAGTAACACTTTACAATAAGGTTCATTTTATTAACCTTAGCTAACTACATTAGTTAACATAAACTAACAATGAAAAATATTGTAAAGCATTTATTAATCCTAGATCATATAAATTGCAATATGTAGTAATATATTATTAAAATCCAAAATTGTATATGTTAATATTAATGAATGCACCTGAGCTCAAATGAACCAAATATGAAGAGTTGTACTTTTATTAATGTTAACAAAGATTAATAAATACTCCAACAAATGTATTGCTCATTGTTAGTTAATATAAGTGAATGCATTAATTAACGTTAACTAATAAACCTTATTGTAAAGTGTGCCATTATTTCTTAGATAAAAAGTGAAGCAGTTCTGTTAAAATATTATACATTTTTGAGAAAATAAACACTTCTGTCTACACGATATATGGACTATATTGATATAAATGACTTTCAAAACCTCTTGAAAACAAGATGAATACAAAGACTACATTTATAAGAACTTGGTACACGTGCTTTCAACTAGATTTCTTTAAAAATACTGTATATCTTGTCATTTGTCATTGTCCCACATCACGTACTTAAGAAGAGCCACTTGTCATAGAGAATCTATACGACCGCATGGCTTGCACTTGATCAGAATTCCTTTAGTGGAGTGTGCAGTTTTAAAAATAACCCCGGAGCGAAAAATCAAGTAGTGTGTGGTGAAGCAAGTTTAGACAAAGTCCTTGACATGAAAGCTGCAAGCCGCAGTGACAGAGACAGAGCTAAGCAGGCTTGTCAAGGAAAGGTGGCATGGAGCCCTTACCGTGAAGGCATAACTCGGCTGTTCTTCATGGTCCACGGGCCTCAGTAGTGTCAGGTAGCGTGCGATCCCACTGGGCGTCACTGCAAAGATGCTGTTGTAGTTGTCCAGAGAGATGTGCACCATGGGATCTTTCGTCTGCAGTGGAAATAAATCACCGTAAGTTCCCGTGTCAGAAGGCAGAGACATCAGAAGATAGAGCATGCTGGGAATTTGACTATATAAATTGCTAAGGATGGGAAAAACGCTCATAAAATCCAGTGCATTAGAGAAACACACTTTATAAGGGAGAACTCCAGTCAAACGAGAGATAAACAACTCAAAACCTTCTAAAAGAAATTTCAGAAGCACCAACTTGTGAAGTTTAAGACACTGATATCTGAAATGTTAAAATAAATTAATAAGGATCATAAATATCTAAAGAGATTATACAAGAGCAACAGCATTCCAAGACTCAGCTAGCAGCTGAAAATTCACTTTCGTGCTTATGAAATGTGCAAAAATAAAGCATTTGTGGCATTAAAGTGTTGTATCGGCACTGAGATAAAACATAATGTTATCATGTACACTACCAAACGTTTGGAATAAGAAGGTTTTTCTAATGTTTTTCAAAGACGTCGCTTATGCCCACCAAAGATGCATTTATTATGATCAAAAATACAGTAAAGCAGTAATATTGTGAAATATTATTACAATTTAAAATTGTTTTATATTTGAATATATTTTAAATGTAATTTATTCTTGTTATGACAAAGCAGAATTTTTACTCCAATCTGTCACATGACCCATTCTAATAATTCTAATATATTGATTTGCTATATAATTGATCAATAATTAATAATTGTTCTTTACGGAGCCCCGCACATGGCATGCAGGAAAAAAATAGTAGGCTAACTCGTGTGCACGATTTACTATTTCGTTCCCTCGATTTATAAATTGTGCACACAATTTACTAATTCGTTCCCTCAATTTGCTAAATCATGCACACAGTTTATAAATCGAGAGAACGAATTCGTAAAATGTGCGCACGATTTAGCAAATCGAGGGAACGAAATAGTAATCCTGTGCACGTTTTAGTACATCGAGGGAACGAATTAGTAAATCGTGCGCACGGTTTATTTATTTTTTTATTGCATGTCATGTGCGGGGCTCCATAGTTCTTATTTTTATCAATATTAAAAATAGTTTTTGCTGCTTATTATTTTTGTGAAAATGGTGGATTTTTTTCCCCAAGATTATTTGATTAATAGAAGGCTATAAATAACAGATTTTATTTGAAATAAATCATTTGTAACATTATAACCATCTTTTCTGTCACGTTTGATCAATTAAAAAAAAAATAATAATAATTTTCACTGTCAATTAATTGTCACTATGCTGATTAAAAACAATCCAGATTGTGTAATCTATATGAATGCTGGTATATCATGTGGTGCTCTCATTCCCATCATTATCTATAGGAGCTGTTTGCCGTTTATACCTGCTGAAATTTCTCCAGTTCTACAACCTGGAGACTATTAAATCAGCCATTACGCCCTTGCAGTACAATAATTTTTCATGCTACACTGTGCATTATGCGGGTACAGACACTGCTGCTGACCTCTTGAAAAGTATGCAGCACATATATTTGTGCCTGAGTATTAATTGCAAAATAAAGTGCATAAGTTGTCAATGCATTTCCCTTTTTAAGGAAACATAAATAATACGTAGCAAATATATTTCATTAAGAAAAACCGGGAAAAAAACAGTAAACATGCTATAGTAAAAATTGCTACAGTAAAAACCTATTAATTGGATAACTTTAAGTTACCTCACCATAAATGGTGAAAAAACATAACTTTATATATAATTTTACAGTAAAATAATGTAAAATGTATGGTTTTGATGCTATCAAATCATTGCTGTTTGTTTGAACCACTTCATTAACAGTGTAAAAGTTTAAGGAAGGACTATCTGGCCAATGCTAAATAAGTATAAATATTAAATATTAAATTAATATGAATATAAAAATATTATTATTATTGCAAGTACACTTAGTAGCACACAAATAACTCACTGCAGATTAAACACTCATGTTGTTTGACCACAGTCCTCCAAATTTACCAAATTATTAATGAGATACATTAGATCAGTTGCCAGTCTGCCCAAAATGTAAATGAAAATCAATAAACAAGACGCAGGGCAATAATCATGCAAAGCATTAAGCAAATTGAATGATACAAAAAGACAGCACAGCAACATTGAGAAAGAGAGAGAAGGCAAACAAGGGCTTTTCACTTCACACATCTATCACTAATTTCATTAATACCTACAGGCACATCACCGAGATTCAGCTTTAGATGGGAGACAAAACATATGCTTGACATTAGAGTGTTTTCCATTTCTAAGACTGATGGGATTAAAGAGACAGTTCACCCATAAATAAAAATTCTGACGTTGTTTACTCAACCTTATGTCATTTCAAACTTGTACGACTATTTCTTTCATGAAACATAAAAGAAGATATTTTACAAAATGTTGTTTTTTTTGTTTTTTTTTCCCTGTGGTGGCATAGCTGGGTTTTCAGCAGCTGTTACTTTATGTCACATGATCCTTCAGAAAGCATTAATTTGGTGCTCAAGAAACATTTCTCAGTTGAAAACTTTGCTGAAGTTGAAAGCAGTTTTGCTGCTTTTGTGATACACTACCATCCATACACTATCATTAAAAAGTAATAAAAAATAAATAATAACCATAACAATAATAATAATATTTACAAAATGTTGTTTTTTTTGTTTTTTTTTCCCTGTGGTGGCATAGCTGGGTTTTCAGCAGCTGTTACTTTATGTCACATGATCCTTCAGAAAGCATTAATTTGGTGCTCAAGAAACATTTCTCAGTTGAAAACTTTGCTGAAGTTGAAAGCAGTTTTGCTGCTTTTGTGATACACTACCATTCATACGCTATCATTAAAAAGTAATAAAAAATAAATAATAACCATAACAATAATAATAATACTTTTATTCAGCAAGTACACATTAAATTGATCAAAAGTGACAGTAAATAATAATATATTTTTTAAATGTATAATATCACATCAATCTTTCTATTCATCAAAGTAGTTTTCCAAAAAAAAATATATATATATTAAGCATTAAAAACTGTTTTCAATTTTGTAAATAATAAGAACCATTCTAGCACCAGCAATAATTACTGGTTTGTGAAAGATCGTGTAACACTGAAGACTGGATTAATTAAGCTGAAAATTCAGCTTTCCCATCACAGGAATAAATTATATTACAACATATTGCAAAAGAAAACAGTTATATAATATTTATGATAATACTGTTTTTACTGTATTTTGATCAAATAAATGCAGCATTGGTGACAAAAGAGACTTCTTCCAAAACCATTAAAACAATCCTATTTATTCCAAACTTTTGACGAGTAGCATACACAATACTAGTATAAAAGTTTATGAGAGACGTAGCATGGAAAAGAGCAGCATGAACATTCTTCAAAATATCTTCTTTTGTGTTCCACTTATTTAGAATGACTTGAGGGTGACTGATAGAATTTTCATTTTTGGCTGCACTGTCCCTTTAAAGCAGAAGGCGACTGTCATAGCAGAGTTCGCTATGTTCTAAGTACTTTGCCTTTGCCATCTATAAAGCAGAGATAATTGCAAAGAGTGAACACTCCAGAGAACATTAGCGCAGTGTAAGCACCTCCCCAATAAGTCTCTAAGTGCGAGCCTCCAAGACTGTATCTCTGATGCTCTTTTCAATTTTAATTCGCTTTTCTAAACGCTCCATAGAGCAGGAGCTTTGGTTAACTTCAGAGGAACATTTCTATACACACACATATCCCTCAGGACACGTGAAAGTGATTGCCGTCTGAGCACGAGCACAGAAAGAGAGACTCCTCACCTCCTCAATGTCGTTATCCAGGGCGATAATGGCGAGGGGGGTGGAGAGATTGGCACTGCTCGAGATAGTGGTGCCCAGCGGAGCAGCCTCTGAGATGAATCCATGATAAGTGGCCACCTGGAAGTACGGCGTCTGATTGTTCTCATCAAGCACCTCAATGTGGAGATTAGCGAATGCCGGAAGAGGGTGTCCATTATCTTGCTCTGCCTAGAGAAAAGAATGCCATAAATTGAGAGATTCTGACTCAAAGATGGGATACTGGTGTGAAACACAGCTTTTTTGGATTACGGTATGCTGCACATATAATAAGGGCAATGCGATAAGCCTCTATGGGCATACGAGGGCTTAACACTATCTACAGACCTGCCCCTCTAAATTAAATAAAGACCATGGTTGATTAATTCAGGTCATTCCCAAACTTAATTCTCTCAGAGTCTGGCATGCACCCAAGTGCTCGGAGCGCCTGAATATTTAGTGGAGTAACTATTGCTCAAATTCCTACCTCACCAGCGGCATTCATTTATAAGACTTTCAGCGATAAGAAACTTAAATAAAAATGTAACATCTGAAAATCCTGAACAGGTCTTTGGATTAAAATGTCATGAAGTGATTTTGGTTTAAGGCCTCCATGTAGACCTTGCAATTTTTGTACTGTTCAAATTCCACACTTTTTAAAGGGGACATCGGATGCCCATTTTCCTCAAGTTAGTATGATTCTTTAGGGTCTTCATAAAATGTCTGTAACATACTTTGGTTAAAATTGCTCAATGGTCATGTAAAACAACACCCTTTACCTTGTCAAAAACAGCTCTGGGCTGCGTTTCCCGAAACCTTAACGCTGCATCGTTCTTAAGTTATACCTTAAGCTATATCTTATCCTTAATACGTGTTTCCTGAAACATTCTTAGTTCTATCATGAGATTTTTCTGAAGATTTTAGCATGGTAATGGATATGACAATGTTAATATATTTGGTCTTGGTGGAATAGATCTGCTACGCTGCTGCTGCTGTTGGTTATTGCTGTATTTGTAGATTATTGCTGCTGCTGCTGCAGCAAGCAAGTACAGGAACTTGCTACTGCCAATACATAAGCCGATATGGTGCTGTGAGTATTTAAGACATGCTGCTGCACAAATAGCATATAAAATGACCCGTAGCAGATATTTACAGGTGGAGCTGGGGAAGGTGGAGGGTTTCAGAGGAACTCTATAAGCACGCTGCAATGCTCAAGCGAATGCTAATCAGCCATTTAAATGTAAAGCAGCAAGCTCATCGCCTGTGTATGCAACGGGAACCAATCAGCTTGTGACAAGTCATTTAGTGCAAAGAATATTATCAGTTACGTTAAGGACCTATAGCCGGCGTCATCTAGAGTTTCATGACAGAACTTGGTATTTAAGTATACCTTCTGTAAGTTGGCATTTTAGCACTTCTGACTCAATTGTCCTGTATTCAATAATTACAATATATTCAATAAATTCAATAATTACTTATTTCAGTAATGCCTAAAATAAGGTCTCTGGTAAACACAAGCTCAAGATATTTCCATGTTTTATTCTACGACATAAAATACACAAGTAATACACCCATATTGTTTGCCTTGAAAAGGGTGGTTGCTAACAAGTAGCTAAATGTGACTATAGAGCTAATCTGGGATATTAAACACCATCATACTGAACTGGAAAACTCATTTTCTCATTAGTCTCATTAGACTCTTTCACAGCCACATTGTGTTTATAATCATGCTTTTGCAAACTCAAACTTTCAGGGAAAATTTCTTTTAAATTTAGACTGAAAGAGTTGTCGGAAGCGTAATGCTGGTGACGTTGAGGTCATGTGAATGTGGTGTAGTTTCTTTATATCCCACATTTAGCTTTTTACTCCTGACAATTATATTTACTGTGGGCTTCAAAATTCGTAAAAGCTGTGTTCATTTGTGAATATTATAACGATGAACAAAATGTGTAAGAACCACAAACCTTTGTTTCGTCACAGAGCTTATTTTCTGCAATAATCCAAAAGCCGATGGAAAAATCCATCTATAATGGTGTGCAGAACTAAAGCATTATCAGTTCTGTTGCAGTTTACTGACAAATATATAAATAGTAAAATACTATAGAAAAGTCCTTAAGCTGTGGGCTGCCTTACTCAAGCATGACTAAAGATGAACTCAGTTCTGCTGTAATATGTGAACGACTATATCATCACTCTCACATTAGAAAGCAAGAAAAATCAGCTTTAGCCATCTGAGTGACAGCACGTATTTCTAGACAGCTACAATTTAGGCTGAAAGGGCAAGTTCAGAGTGACATTTAAAGGTACGGAAGAACAATTACTTATTTCAGTAATGCCTAAAATAAGGTCTCTGGTAAACACAAGCTCAAGATATTTCCATGTTTTATTCTACGACATAAAATACATAAGTAATACACCCATATTGTTTGCCTAGAAAAGGGTGGTTGCTAACAAGTAGCTAAATGTGACTATAGAGCTAATCTGGGATATTAAACATCAATCATACTGAACTGGAAAACTCATTTTCTCATTAGTCTCATTAGACTCTTTCACAGCCACATTGTGTTTATAATCATGCTTTTGCAAACTCAAACTTTCAGGGAAAATTTCTTTTAAATTTAGACTGAAAGAGTTGTCGGAAGCGTAATGCTGGTGACGTTGAGGTCATGTGAATGTGGTGTAGTTTCTTTATATCCCACATTTAGCTTTTTACTCCTGACAATTATATTTACTGTGGGCTTCAAAATTCGTAAAAGCTGTGTTCATTTGTGAATATTATAACGATGAACAAAATGTGTAAGAACCACAAACCTTTGTTTCGTCACAGAGCTTATTTTCTGCAATAATCCAAAAGCCGATGGAAAAATCCATCTATAATGGTGTGCAGAACTAAAGCATTATCAGTTCTGTTGCAGTTTACTGACAAATATATAAATAGTAAAATACTATAGAAAAGTCCTTAAGCTGTGGGCTGCCTTACTCAAGCATGACTAAAGATGAACTCAGTTCTGCTGTAATATGTGAACGACTATATCATCACTCTCACATTAGAAAGCAAGAAAAATCAGCTTTAGCCATCTGAGTGACAGCACGTATTTCTAGACAGCTACAATTTAGGCTGAAAGGGCAAGTTCAGAGTGACATTTAAAGGTACGGAAGAACGACTGAAAATCAACAAGACTTGACAGAACTGTAAATATGAATTAATATACAGCATCCAGTGTGATAAACATGTAACTCATCAGAATATGAGGTTTATTGCATCAACTAGATTAGCTCTCATGCTTAAATTGAAACCTCACAGGCATTTTTGTGGAATGCATGAAAATATGAAATTATTTTCTAAGTCTAGTGGATGCCCAGGTTCCGCCCACAGATGGTTGATTGACAGTCTGATCAATTTTAAACATTAAAATGCATGATGCTGAAAATCTGAGTTTGATCTAATGCAATGACATTCATAAGTGTGGCTTAAGTGTCCATATACTTTAGGGGCCACTGTATATCTGATGTATTACAGAATCCCACTGACAGATAAGTGCAAACTGAAAAATTTTGGGATTCTTGTAGCATACAGGCTACGTGATTGGAATTTAGACTGAAAGAGTTGTCGGAAGCGTAATGCTGGTGACGTTGAGGTCATGTGAATGTGGTGTAGTTTCTTTATATCCCACATTTAGCTTTTTACTCCTGACAATTATATTTACTGTGGGCTTCAAAATTCGTAAAAGCTGTGTTCATTTGTGAATATTATAACGATGAACAAAATGTGTAAGAACCACAAACCTTTGTTTCGTCACAGAGCTTATTTTCTGCAATAATCCAAAAGCCGATGGAAAAATCCATCTATAATGGTGTGCAGAACTAAAGCATTATCAGTTCTGTTGCAGTTTACTGTCAAATATATAAATAGTAAAATACTATAGAAAAGTCCTTAAGCTGTGGGCTGCCTTACTCAAGCATGACTAAAGATGAACTCAGTTCTGCTGTAATATGTGAGCGACTATATCATCACTCTCACATTAGAAAGCAAGAAAAATCAGCTTTAGCCATCTGAGTGACAGCACTTATTTCTAGACAGCTACAATTTAGGCTGAAAGGGCAAGTTCAGAGTGATATTTAAAGGTACGGAAGAAAGACTGAAAATCAACAAGACTTGACAGAACTGTAAATATGAATTAATATACAGCATCCAGTGTGATAAACATGTAACTCATCAGAATATGAGGTTTATTGCATCAACTAGATTAGCTCTCATGCTTAAATTGAAACCTCACAGGCATTTTTGTGGAATGCATGAAAATATTAAATTATTTTCTAAGTCTAGTGGATGCCCAGGTTCCGCCCACAGATGGTTGATTGACAGTCTGATGCATTTTAAACATTAAAATGCATGATGCTGAAAATCTGAGTTTGATCTAATGCAATGACATTCATAAGTGTGGCTTAAGCGTCCATATACTTTAGGGGCCACTGTATATCTGATGTATTACAGAATCCCACTGACAGATAAGTGCAAACGGAAAAATTTTGGGATTCTTGTAGCATACAGGCTACGTGATTGGATTTTGAGCGGACTCAAACGGGGGCTCAGCCCCACTGCTTTTGCTTTGAAACTGAGATCTTGACTGGCAGGCTGACATGCTGTTGTCACAATAGGACCTTTTATAAGGACCTATTTTATAATTTTATCTATGGTGCTACAACTGAAATTCCCTTAGGAAAAACTAAAGAGTTACTCTGTTGCTGATCTTACAGTGATTTGCAGAGGCAAAACTACTGTACCTAGCAGTCTGTGATACAGTGTGAAGTATATCATTCATTTGATCTTGTGTATAACAGCAGTACATTCATGAATATATCCAACCCAGCTAACTTTTTTTTTTTTTGGTTGTGGGAACATTTAAAAAGTCAAATGAAGCACTCAGAACAGTTTGCACCATGACATATAAGTAGACAAAATGCAAAAATCACACACACACACACACACACACACATACACATGTCTGGTCAGCTATCCTTGTGGGGACTCTCCATAGGCGTAATGCTTTTTCTACTGTACAGACCGTATATTCTATTGCCCTACACCAACCCTACCCCTAAACCTACCCCTCACAGGAAACTTTCTGCATTTTTAGATTTTCAAAAATCTTCATTCTGTGTGATTTATTAGCTTGTTTACCCATGGGGAC